TAAGCTACCTACCACAACGGGACGCGTTGACCCCACTGCGGGGTATATTCATAATGGTACCATCATCGTACAGCGACCGGATAGCGTGACAACTGGATATTCCTGATTGCCGACGGCGCCTGTACTAGCTGCGGTTCGTTTTCTAAGGTGCGAGGCTATGTGTTCGTCATGTTGAGCGGCAGTTTTCCGCTCGCATAGAGTTTGTCATCCCGTGTCTAAGCGTCATCGCAGACTAGCTGAACGTCTTTCGTGGTGTTTGGCGGACTTCGGATTGGATCTTGGGCTTGTGCATTGCGAGGTTGTATTCGTCCATGTGCTGCCATGGCAGATTGAGGAACTCGTGTTTGTTCTTCCAGCGCAGTGACTCTTCCTTGAACTTGTCGGCTTCGGTGGGCGGGAGCGGCGGCTCTGTAATTTTCGTGATGAGGTATGCCGTGGATGCTTCGGCGAGACCGTATATGAGGACGCCGACGAGGGGTATCTTGACAAAGATGTAGAAGCCTAGGCCGAAACCAAAGAGCACACCAGCTCGGTCTTTGAACCAGAGCTTCTTTTGCTCTTTGTTGTAGCGAACGCGTGTGAAGTAGGGCTCAAGCTGTTTCAAGTCAGAAAAGTGAGCATGAAATTTGTTGAAGAGGTGCTTACCAGCTCTCGCATAAGAGTTCGTGATGAGAAGTAAGCCTGCAGGAAGCTGACCAGGTATCTGCGGGGGAACAGCAATGATCCCGCGAAGATGGCTGCTGCGGGCTGGGTTCCCACCGATTTCTTGAATGTGTAGAAACTGGCAGCGGGCAGCACGAAGCGTCCTACATATGGTACGTAAGACAACGCCAGAACTGCCAAAGAGATGGCTGCCTTTCTCCCCTGTTTTGTCGCATATAGCATTATAGCCTGTTTGATGGGCTTCTTCTCCTTCTCGGGCTTGGGTGCGTGGTCGGGGTATTTCTCGAGGTTTGGGTAGTACATGGCGCGGAGGTTGTGGGGGTCTTCGCTCTTGTGCTTCTGGACGTACGTCTCGTCGACCCAACGGAGGGAGTCCATGAACCTGGAGACGTTGTCAGCTAGATCTCAAAACGGCTACGAGCGTGCCTACATGCGATCCAGAGTAGGTGTGACGTAGCGCATCATGGTCATGAGGAAGAAGGGCACTTGGAGGACAGTGTGTTCAAGAAAGTGAAGGCCGTTGACGACACTCTCGTCCATGCTCGTGTGGTTCATGTTGACGAAGAGAGAGAGGATCCATAGTAGCACTCTGACGCCGACAATCTGGCCATGTTAGACGTCATGTCTGTGTGGAACAGGGCATCCATGAATGATTGAGACGTACGGGTATCGCGACGATGATGCGGATGGCGACGCCTGCAGCTACAGCAATAGCAGCCTGACGGTAGTGGTCCGAAGTGAAGAGACCCGGGTTCTGGAGAGCTCGATTGACTGCGGCGGTATCAGAATGGAGCTGTCACTCACGATACCCTGATGGCCTCGACTTACCGCCAACCAGAGTAAGCTGGGCTCCCCGCAGGATGGCGTTGGGGTCGAAGTTGGACACGTCGAATTGGGACATGTCGATTTTGTCCATGGTGGCAAGCTCGACAGAGGCTCAGGCAGTCTGGTGTGGCTTTCGGCGCAGCAAGCGTGGATTGCGTCCACGTAGAGGTCGTGTGCGAACGCCTGCGAACTGGCGGAGCCCATGACGTACTGACAGCTCCCCACGGACCCGTCGTAGCGCAGCGCGTCGCAAACAAAGCAAGTAACGCGTTGTTGATAGGGGATGCCGTCGCACCAGCAAAACACGCACCCATCTGCAGCGTCCCATCTCACACCGGCGGCATAACTGGCAACTCGACGCGCGCGGGGTTCAGACGATCCGCTGATCAGGTTGAAACTCCAAGTCGTCCCTGTGGCCAAAGCGCGTAGCGTTCCGAAGCCAGGGACTTCCAATCCCTTCAGCCTCTCCATCAACCCCCATCTCCGCACTAACACTTGTAATACTCTCACCAAGCGCCGGCCGCTGTCTTCTGTGGGATCCTTCACCTCGACCTCGCCCTACCGGGATAGCAATGCCCCTATAAGAAGTCTATTATGACGATGCCGGCTTCATCCCAGCATCCTGAGCACGCGCCGTCTGCTCTCAACCCCAGCAACTCGAGGCGCAGCTTCACACTGCCCGCGCGCACTGCACGGAGGACTACGTCGGTGCCTGCACCGTCTGCGAACAGCGCAGATGGCATAGAGACGCTGTTTGTGTGCTCCAACTCCAAGATCTTCTCCTTCACAACAGCTGGGCCCGCTCGGCGCCTGTCACCGTCCCGCTCAGGTGACGCAGCGCATCCGATACCCTGGAAGACGCCTACAGAGCGCACACTCGCAGTCGGTATGCCATCCAATGTGTCACCGGGCTGGAACTTGTCTAACCTATCACAGGCGCTCTCCGTATCTACCGTGTGACAGCCTCCAACGTCTCCTTCCTGAACAGCGGCAATCTCCTGCACACAATCTTTCCCAGGTCTCAGATATGGCTTGTCGACAATCAGTCTGTCTTCGTACTGCGCGTACGCCAGGACTCGTACTATCGCATCGAGCTCCCCTATGAGACGGACGACGACAAGGACAAGATCACGCAATTCAAGTCGGTATTGGCTCAAGTCATGCAGTACGAGAGGACGCAGTGTCCGTTTGCGCGCGGGTTCGAGGTCGTCGCAGAGCTCGAGCGCCCGAAGAGCCCCCCACGCAAGACGATCAAGAGGAAGCCCTCAGGGCAGGCAAAGAAGTGGGTCATGGACAAGACCTGGGTTCCGCAGCAACATGGTTCACGGCCTTCTACTGCTGGTACTATGAGCTCAGAGACTGGTACCACTTCTTCAAACGAAGAGGACGACCGGTCGAGCGTCTGTACTGACAGCAGCGAAATAGTGCCGGCCGCACCCGAGACCCCTTTGGCGAGAACAGCACCAAAGCCCCTCTCATCCAGATCTCCTCAACGTCGCCCCTCGGTAGCGGAACGCGCCAGCATGTTTCAAGGCCTGCGGTCAGTTACGGCGCCCATCCGAGCGCCCAGGAGAGAATCGGTATCGGCCATGGAACGTATAGTCGAGTCTCCAGCAGCAAAGCAACCCACCGAGGCTGAAAAACCCATACTGGAACGCCAGATTTCGGATGCCTTGAGTCTGGCCTCAAGCGCAGACTCATTCTACTCTCTGGATACTGCTACTCCGCGAAGTCCTTCTCCCAAGTTCCTCGATGCCGAGGCTGATATCGTGAACCCATGGGCAAAAGTCTTTTCCAAGCAGCAAGATGAGCCCAGGGGCCGTTCGATACACCGACGTCAGATATCTGAGGTTACTGTCCGCGGCCCATCCACCGAGCGTACTGATGCATCCGCACCTGTGACTCCTACTGCCCCATACTATCCGTCCGCGGTGACCTCGATCGATGGACGACCGTCATCAGCGCCTTCGACACCACCGCTAATGAGCGATTCCGACGACGACAGCCTCGGGCGTGCTAGCATAGACATACCTACACCGCCGGATGCCATTCGTATGAGGAAGCTCACGGGTGCTTCACAGAGACGTGCCTTCTCTCCTATGCCTCCAGCGCAGAACCTTTTCTGTCCACCCAAGCACAACCCAGGCAGAGACTTCACAAATGCCTTGGTGAGCAAGACGTGCGAGCTTGTTCTGGGGCCACCCGCACACCTGGTATCCGTCATGCTCCGTATCGCTACGAGCATCTCAAATGGGTTCGGTTTTATCACATACCGCGTACGCCGCGCTGAGAAGATTCCATGTGCTTGGGAGTCAGATGATGATGCTGACTGGGCTGAAGAAGACGATTTCGGCATCCCGCTTAACAACATCGGGACCCCGGCAATGCGTCGACAGACGTTCTCGGGCGAACTTGACTAATGCATTTGAGGCTGGCTGAGCTTGGATGGTGGTTTCTTATTGCATTTTCACGGTTGATACCAGGCGTTGCATTTTATGTTTGCATCTAGAAGGCGAAGGTCATGCTACTTTCAGTCGTACTTGCACGACGTTGACGTTTTTGAAGAATACATGATTGTAATATGGCGGTACGATAGTGGATAATATGAGATGCGCTCTCCGCATGAATGAGGATACAAGTTTACACACCGTCTTTAGCTGGGCAAGCAGCGTCACTGAGAAGCTGAGACCACAACACCACCCTGGGGCATGCATCCTACCCTTGCCATGCTGAAGCTTGATCGGAGGCATCCCGATGAGCCTGGACTCGGTGCTGAATGTGGTGACACTACGTAACCTGCTCTCCTGAGCCGTAAGACTCCGAAGCAGGTCATCTCTATGACTTCAATCTCGACTTCAGCGTGCTGCTATCCGTCATGGCGGGCGACGCATGTGGTATGACATGATGCCTGACGTCGAATACCGTTGGATCTCGATCGCGAGGTACACTCCTGGGGAAGGCGTTACCGGGTCTGGCTCCTAGCGCCCGGTTTGTCCGTCCAGTCGCGCGGCGATGACGAGCAGCCATGCAGGCACAACATAAGACGATGCTCACTCATCCCATCTCCATGACCCCATCAGCGCCATACCGCAAATGCACACGTCGGATTACTTGCATACCCTCACCTGAGGGAGACTGTTGGGACTTGCGCGTGATCGCCCGCGTCGTGGGGCATTTTAAAATGAGGATGCAGGGTTATGGGTCCTAGCCACGCTGGCAAACCTTCGATCGCATCCAGCCAGCTTTACCGCAAGTTGCAGCGCCAGCGGCTTGTCCAATGACGTCTAGCGCTCGCTCGCGTGTTGCGCACGGAATCAAGGACCTGACCGACTAATTAACTTTGTAGAGGAGGCGGGTGATCCGTTCCTTTTCCCCTAACACTCCCATGGAACCTTCAGCTTTGTGTCAGGAATAGACACCCGTCTCGCTTGCTTACGCCTCATCATCTACTTATCCATTTCGCTTCGCACTGCCGGGGCTGCAACATCGACTACCACCGGATCGCGTTTACTATGAAAAGGAAGATGGAGGAGGATCTCGACGTGTTGTTGGACGAGACGTTGACGCTATGCAAAACACCCCCCGTCCCGCGACGCAATCCGCATCGCGTCTTCTATCAGTACAAATGCAAAACATCGCCGCCCACGGCGCCACCAAAGGAACCGGAGAACCCAGAGATGGAGATGAAAGGACCGCCCATGTTCCACTTTGGAGGACAAACCGAGTTGGTCCCTAAGCCCCTCTTCGCCAGGAGCAACTCGCTGCCGTCACAATCCGTCCGACCATCGCTACCATCTCGCCCATCCGAGCCTTTTCAGTTCAACGCCGACGACATCGTCAAAAGCCCGACACCTTTGTTCGGCAGGAGGAACACGCTGCCATCCAAGGTGCGACGCGCTGTTGCCGCCGAAAGAAAGCCATCGCCGTTGTCGCGCGGAGAGGGAGTGCGATCGTCGCAATCGGCCCACACCACCACCAAGGAGCCCACGTCACCAGCGCTGCCACGTAAGGAACCCAACACCACGCCGAACCCAAAAGCGAAAACCACCAAGTCGCAATTCGCGACTCCGCAGAGGACCCCCCGTGTTGTCGACATCAAAAGACCATCACCACTTTCTGGCAAGGGAAGTGCGCGACGACCCGGTCCCACCCGATTCGCTCCTGTGGAACCCCCATCGCCGATAGTACTGTCACCCGTCATCTCCAACAGCTCTGCGACTTCATCGCCATCGCCATCTGTTTTCTCCGAAGCGGCCAGTTTCTCTGCGTCGAGCCCATCAACACCTGCCACGTCACCACCTGGCTCTCCAATGGTGCCAACAACACACGCTCGCTCGCAGTCGCTAAGTTATTTCCCGCCGTCTCATTGGACCATCAAGCCCTCGCCTTCCCCGATCTACGTCCCCAGGCAAAAGTTGAGGAGGAAGGACAGTCCCAAAATGGAGACTCTTCGCACACTAAGAGCGAAGGAGTCGGACATGATGCTGCAACAAATTTACGACCAACATTGGGAAGCATACCGCGCAAAACTACTTGTAAGTTCTGCCAACGCACCTTCCATGCAGCACTCACTAACCTGGCGTAGAATATGACTAGCGGACTCCGCGCTGCAGAGCGACTTTAACGATCACGATTTATGACTTAACGACTTCAAGACGAGGGCATGCATGGCGTCACACGGCATCTGATTATAATACCCCGGGTTTGGATATATGGGCGCATTTAGAAACCGATTTGCATTTACGGTCTGCATTCACGGTCACAAGCGTTTTAACATATGGGTATACACTGTAATCTAATAGAGCACAGGGCACTACAGCCCTGGTTTGATTCCAACATAATCTTCGTCGACGTCTCTGAGCGAGCGAGCGGCGCACACTTTCGTGCTGCGGAGCCTCAGCTGCACGCATGCACAGCTTACATCACCCGCGCATGGCAGCTGACCTTGATAGCACGCAGCCCCATCGTGCGGCGCTAGTGATTGGTTGACACATTTGACAAGCGCAGCAGACAGCCTCACCAGGCCTTAGCTGCCTATTCTCCCCGCTGCACCCGCCACCTGATATTTGTTCACCAACTTTACTCCTTTTGGAGATGCAACTCGCAACACATGAACTCCCAAGGTAAACGTACATTGTCTGTGCTATATCCAGACCGCCTGCGCCGCACATCCGTCGTGGCGCAGCGCGTAGCCCTGTTATGTGTAAAGGTGGGCCTGACCTAGCCACCATAGGCTAAGCAGGCGCGTAAGATGGCCCCCAAATGGATACCCATATGCCTCGAGCGTTCTCCATGTTCGCATTGACGCGGAACAGCACATCAAACTGTAGTTATGTGGGGGGTGTGGCACAGGACTTATAGGAAGCTTGTTCCCACTTCCCATGGTTTTCGATGATTTTCTGGTAGCATTCTGAGATCGCGTTTCTGCCCTGGTGGCACGTCATTTGTTTCATACCTCAAAGCGCAGCCTTGTAGGCAGCCTTGGGACCTTTCTGCAGACGACTCAACATCTGACTCACGCCTCGTCGTTGCCACTGTAACACGTATCGATTTGGAAGAGGCCGCCTCGTGCCAGTCATGCGTATGAGTCGGAGGCGGGTTTAGTGTTTGACTCGACAACTTCAGTGCAGTATCCTCAACTCACAAGCAAACGTCTCGCGACTGTATTCAAAACACAGTATACCATCGCCGTTCACGAAAACCCCGGATCGTCAGAAACTGATACTGACGACACCGACATCTGTTGCCTTTCTCGGCGCCAACAACCATGGAATCCTCAAACCCAGAGAGAAATGACAACGCGCCGCTGCGCTTGCTCTCGCTAGATGGAGGGGGTGTACGGGGCCTGTCGTCTCTGTTGGTACTTCAGAACCTGATGGAGAACATAGCCTTGGAAGAGAAGAGGTTAGGAAGGAAAGCCATGAACGACCACGAACCGCTAAAACCATGCGACTATTTCGACCTTATTGGAGGCACATCAACGGGTGGCATAATAGCCATCATGCTGTCACGATTGCGACTCGATTGCAAAACCTGCATCGCTGTATACAGTAAATTAGCAGAGCAAATATTCAAGCACGATCGATCGATAAAGGCTTTTGGCATGAAGATCCCCACAGGAGCAAGTCGGTTTTCCGGTGCCGTTCTCGCAAATGCCATCAAGTCTGCGTTGAAAGACCTCGGCTTCGATCCAGATGAACTGATGTGGGATGAGGCGCTTTTTGAAGAAGTGGATGAAGCGGCTGATCTACCCAGAGACAGCATCTGGGCAGATGCGCCGCCAGCGCCGGTAATCACAGAGAGTCCGGTCGGCACACTCAAGAACTCGCTATGCTCGTTGGAATCGGGCCCTCCTGAAAGTGTCGATAGCACGAAGAATCTGTCTACACTCTTTGGCGACAGTCCTTTCGGCCCGCGAAAGCCAATGCGAAGCGCTACTTGGAAGCTGCATCACCGGCAATCAGTTCACAAAAAGGCAAACGCCAAGGGGTGCCGCGGCTTTGTACTTACTTCCCTCAAGAACGCGTTAGGCCTTCCCCGAATCCTGTCTACCTACGATCCCAATGACCGGACGACGCGAATTTGGGAAGCGTTAAGAGCTACGTCCGCAGCACCGACCTTCTTCGAAGAGATGCAATTCGGCACGCCCAAAGTCACTTACCTAGACGGCGGCGTGGGCTTCAACAACCCATGCGCAGAAGTCGACTACGCGGCAAAAGCACTCTGGGAAGGCCGCTCCATCGGCGTCATAGTCTCCGTCGGCACCGGCCTACAAAGCATCCCAAGCGTAAAGAAAATGGCATCATGGCTACCCTTCGGCCTCGGAACAGACATCTCCATAGCCAGCGCACTCACGGGCATGGCAACAAGCACCGCACGCGTCGACAACGAAATGAAGCGCATGTACAACAACTCCGACACCAAATACTTCCGCTTCGACGTCGACCGCGGCCTCGCAGACGTCAGCCTCGAACAATGGATGAAAGAAGACGAAATGGCCTCCCTAACCGAACTCTACATGAATGACGGTGAGCAGATCCGGTCCGCCAAAGACTTCGGCCAACGCATGGCCAAACTTTCCGCATTACCTCCAAAATTCGAAATAAGCGCTTCCCACTTCCGTCTAGGCATGACCGGACGCGGCCTCCTTGATTCCTCCTTCCAACTCGCGCAGGTTGATTTTAAAACGGGTATGCCGTTAGGCGTTTCCCCGCACCTCGACGATATACCACGCATGTCTCAATACCGCGACCTCTCGCCCAGTGGCGAAAGCGGACTCGCTCTCGACAACGCAACCGGCCGCCTCAAACGCATCTTCCCAGTAGCCGAAGACCTCGACCACGATGGCCGCCGCGAAGAAGCCGCCGTGTACCAGTGCATCAAAGCCGACAACATATGTCTCCGCACGATAAAAACAGGTATACCACAGGGCAAATACAAAGTCCAATTCCTCGTCTCTTTCCACAATAGCACGCATACGCCGCCTCGCGATCTTGTCTTCAGCGTCGGGAAACCGTTTGATCCGTCGACCTTCTCGCAGCGCTATGTCGATGTTAAGATTACGCCGGATGTGGGGAGTGTGCTGTTGCATCCGGATGCGGTGAGGGTTAGGGTCGGGTCGAGACGGTATGAGGAGCTCAAGGGAAAGGGGTGGGCGGAGATTGAGGGGGATATCGAGGTTAGTGTGGGATTGGACGGGGCGTTGGGGTTTATTATTAGTAAGAAGTATGAAGATGGTGTGTTTGTGGATGGATGGAGTTTTGGTGGTGTGAGGCTGGAGCCGGTGTTCGGGACGGCGGGTGGGGTGGTGACAAGTCCGAGGATTTTGACATGATTAATTGAGCGGGCGTTATGGGAACGCTGTCTCGGCGAGTGGTTGGCAATCGCTCGTCGACTTTCGATGTTTACAAGCTTTGTTTCGATTCTCTTTGTCGGGCGTCTGGAGGAAGTTATGACGAGCGCAAGGTTTGAGGTAATGTTTATCAGACAGGAATTATAGACCATGTAGTTTATGTGTCATAGCAGCGAAGCGCATGTTTGTTCAAGAAAACAAGAACTTTTATTGAACTGTCTACTGTTTCTATTATTGAGACACACCCTATGCAAACACCGAACAGTGCCGATACGTGTGTTAAAGAGCGACGATAGTTGATATTATCGTGTGACGACAAGCCCTACGATTGGCTTGGCTAGCGTTGACCAGTGAGATCCATTCGACGGTGTCTGCATGTATCAGGAGCGATATCCCGATGCTCAGAGTGTGGGGGAAGCAGTCGGGCAGGTGGTAACGCTGACGGTGTTGAAGACGGTGGTAGGCACGCTTGTGGTGGAGGTGATGGTAGTAGAGGCAAGAGTGAAAACCGTCGCTGTAGCGGTACCGGAGACGGGTGTCGAGGTACTATCATTGATAAGCGAGTGCATGATGGAAGCAAGGAATACAGTACTTACGTGGTAACGGTAGTCCTGGCAGTGGCAGTCGAAGTCGCAGTGACTTGAGCCTGAGTGAATGTGAAGTCAGGACCGAAGAAGCCAGCACGCTTCTCCAACTTCGCCTTGGAGTCGTCAACCGCGGCACGCTTGTTCAGCTTCACCTTGGGAGCGGCAAACGCGACGCGCTTGCGGTGAAGCTTGAAGGTGGAGCAGCCGGAAAGCTTGCGTCCTCCAATGATGTTCGAGTTAATGCGGACGTCACCGATGCTGCCCTTCATGTAGCAAGCACCAGGCTTGCCAATGACCCAGGAAACATTGACACAGCCAGTAGTGTTGTCACAGGCTTGGAGACATTGCTCGTAAGTGTCGGTATACACGAGACCGTTTTCAACTAGATACAATATTAACTTGTGTGCGTTGTAACGGTGAACAGGGGAACTTACGGTCATTGCCGAAGCGGTCAGAGCTGCACTCGACAGCATATACTGCGCCACATGACGTTGTGACCATTGAGCCATTGGAACCAGGGCAGCTAGTAGCGCCTGTTGGGCTCGCAGCAGGAGCGCTCGACGATGCAGCAGGAGCACTCGATGATGCAGCAAGGGTGCTTGATGGTGCAGCGAAGACGCTAGCAGGTGTGCATGCGCACTGGTATGCTGTGTTGGAGATCGTCGTAGTGACAGTAACGGTAGAGGGTCCGGGAGTGGGCGCAGCTGAAGTGACTGGAGCTGAGCTTGCTTCCACGGAAGAAGAAGAGGGGGAAACGGAAGAGGAAACACGGGATGAGGTAGACACAGGCGAGGAGGCAGCTACGGAAGAGGAAGCAGCCACGGAGGAAGAAGCAGCCGCAGATGAGGAAGCAGCCGCAGATGAGGAAGCGACAGCAGACGAAGAGGCAGGTGTCATCGAGGAAGCGGCCGCAGAGGAAGAGGCAGGTGCCGCCGAAGAAGCACTAGTTGCCGACTTAGTTGAGATGCTGCGGATCAGTCTTCCACCAATAATGTTGCTGTTCGAACCGGCAGCGTTGGCTGCGCTCTTCAGGTAGCAAGGACCGTTAATAACGTAGCTGGCAGCGACACAGCCTGAAGTGGTAGAACAGTCTGCCAAGCAGCCTTCGTAGGAGCTGGGGTAGGTCGGGCTCATTGGGCCCGGAATATCGCCACCCTGGTAGTCGGCACCGCACTCAACTAGATATTGCATGCCATTGACAGTGATCATGGAGCCGTTGGAGCCAGGGCAAGAAACACTAGCGCCTGAACTGGCAGCAGGGCTGGAAGATGAACTTGCGGTGACGACTGTGGTGCTGACAACTGTGGTCGTGGCGACTGATTGAGAGGAAGCGCCTGCAGAAGAAGCGATCATCGAAGAAGATGAAGACACAGGGACTGATGCAATCCTAGCACCCCAGACACCACCGTTGGACCTAGGCGCACCGACACCGCTCTTCAAGTAGCAAGGGCCGTTTGGCAGGTATGAAACGGCCTGGCAGCCAGAAGTAGCTCCGCAAGCTTGGATACACTGCTCATAGTTCGCAGGGTTACCAGGCGCAACACCGATATCGGAGTTAGTGCGGTCGATGAAGCACTCGACGACGAAGTCTCCTTGAGGGGTGGTGAACGTGGCACCATCGCTCGCGGGGCAAGACAAGGCAGACGCAGATGGCGACGCGCTGGCTGAAGTGGGGGTGACAGAGCTTGAAGTGATGGCAACAGAGCTGGAAGCAGGGCTTGACGAAGCAGGGCTTGACGAAGCAGAGCTGGAAGAGACTGAGCTTAAAGCCGGGCTTGAAGAAACAGAACTGGAAACACGGCTTGAAGAAGCTGCGCTCGAGATAGGGCTTGAAGAGGCTGAGCTCGAGACAGGAGTTGAAGCGGCTGAGCTCGAGACAGGAGTTGAAGCGGCTGGGGTAGATACAGGGCTTGAAGAAGCGGAGCTCAAAGCAGGGGTGGAGGCTGCTGAGCTCGACGCAGCGCTTGAAGAAGCGGGGCCTGATGCAGGGCTCGAGGAAGCAGAGCTGGATGATAGGCGTGCAGATGAGCTAGAAGAAGCGGCCGAGGATGATGCGGCCGGAATGGAGCTCGGTGTCGGAGTAACCGTAGTCACACTTACGACGGTAGTAGTAGCGACGGAGGCTGAAGAGGGCGATGGGATAGGAGACGGTGAAGCGGATGAGCTGGAAGAAGCGGACGAGGGCGACACGATGGGAGCGGAGCTCGATGGAGTAGCCGTAGTGACGCTTACCACTGTGGTGGTGACAACAGAGGCTGAGCTTGGCGAAGGGATCGCGGAAGGTGTAGAAGATGTAGAAGATGAGCTCGGGACTGGCACAGCAGATGAGCTTGGCGATGGAACGGAAGACGCGATTGAGGACGAGCTCGGCGATGGGATAGCTGAAGGCGAAGCAGATGAGCTTGGCGAGGGAACGGGAGAAGGCGATGAAAACGAGCTTGGTGACGGGATGGAGGAAGGTGAAGAGATGGAGCTCGGCGTTGGCGTGACTGTCGACATGACGACCGTGGTGGTAGTAGACACTTGTGCCGACGATGATGGTACAATCGGAATGGAGGATGATCGGGAAGACGATGGCACAATGGGTGCTGGAGAAGAGCTAGAGGAACTCGGTCGAATGGATGTCGGGCAGACAGTGAAGGTCTGTGTAACAGCACTGGTGACCGGGAATGTGGAAGTAGCGATGTTTGTCTGTGTGCTAGTGGCAGAGGCGGAAGAGACTGTAGTAGTCGCCGCAGGCCTAACAGGCGCAAACGCAGTGTTGGTAGCAGTCGAAGTCGTCTGAACGACGCTTGTAGCGACAGTGCTTGGGGAAGGCTGGTCGCCGAACGCAGCAGTGAAGGCACGGGGAGTGGCAGCGAACGGGTTAAGGAACGCATAGTTATCGATCGTATAACGACCCATGTTGACCCAGTCGTAAAGGTCAGCATCCTGACAGAAAATGCCTGTATAGGTTGCCGGTACGCCTTGGGTCTGGTAAGTGCAGGTGCGGGTGTACAAAAGCAACGGGTTGGAAATGATGGGCGTGAATGTAGGCCTGGTTCCTTGATAACAGGTAGAAGTACCAGACATATAAGTCACCTGGATACCGAAGTTGTCGCCAGATCCAAAGCTATGCCTAGCTCGATCATAACTGAAGGTTGGGGTGGCCGACCCAATGAGGGACGGCAGACCCGCGGCAACGAGCGAGCAGCCTGACATGTCGGCTGGCTACTGGGGATCGAGCAAATGTAGGAGAAAAGCGAGCGTGCAGAACGAATGATTCCTGACTACAGAGAGCAGAGGGAAGCTCTTTTATGAATCCCTACCTTGCAGCTACGCGGCTACTCAATATGATGAGTTCATGGAGCTTAGAAGGGTTAAAAGACCCTGAACCACCAACCAAAATCGAAGGCTATGGGGTTACTCCGACAGGAGGGTTCTCCTCACGATCGATATTCGGTATGTAAATGAGGGGCCGGTTGGTGAGGCATTGGAGCATGCCATCGCTTCCACCTGGGTCGCACGGAGGGAACGCTAAACATCTTCCCGAGCAGGCTGAAAAGATGGACGAATGTTTTCGCGATTGGGAGTGTTGTGCGTCTAGGTACACCTGTGTTCCTGAGGTGCGGTGTGTCGTTCATGGCACGAAACCCTTCCAAGCCTGGAAGACGCGTTTGACAGCACGGACCCCCACTAGGCGTTTAGCGCAGGGGCGCCGTCGTCATCATCATGCCCGTTCACCCAGTCCGGCTCCATCTCGTCTCGAAAGGCTCACAGTTACATCCTCTGTCATGACTTCTACTTTCGATACGGATTTCGGTTTGGTTGGGCTACCGTTTTACGTACTGTATGTGCCATCTTGCTCGAAGAAAAATCTCTCTATTACCGAAGAATCCAATTTGCCAAACGTACTCCAGTCTCGAAGGGTCTTTCGCCGAACATCGCATCATGAACGATCCCTGCGTCTCTGCAGCCTTTCACATATGTTGGTAGACTAAAGGAAAACCACAATACCACCCATATGTAGCCCGCATACCTTGCTAATGCAGGTCCAATATTGTCATGGCCGGCCCCTCGGTACCGTGCCTGAACAGCCATCCATTGCACAACACCCTCGATGGTGATAGCTACCGGCTGCGACATGAAGAATACGAGTTCTCCCATGTCTCTACGCGTTACCATAAACATTTGGAACTCGTGCACTAAGCAGCTAATTGCGAACGACACATAGAGTTGAATTAATCCCGATGCGAGACTGCCATTGCGGAGACCCAGGAGGCGCACAATGCGAGCTGCGGGTTGCGAGATCATCTGCAATAGACATTTGCGTTAGCGATGCTCGCATACCGCACGGTGGTGGAAAACTTGGAAACGATGTAAAAGTGAAATGAGGAGTCAATCCCGACTTTACCTTTCTCATTGTTTGGTGATAGACCACACTCCAGACCTGTCTCACAGACCACGCATCCCTCAACTTTCCCATTAGCGGGGGCCATTGCCACGTTTCGCATACCCCGCATGCAACGGATCCAGCCGCCATGAAGCTGTAAGCGAAGTTCAATCTTTCCCAGACCCATATCGCACCGGACCAACCAATGAGTGCATCGACCATGAGGTGATAGGGGCGGGCTTCCGATGACAGCCGTACCTCCGCAGCTGAACCCCATCCGAGCAGTAAGAGCATGGCCATAGACCGCAAGTACGTAATCATCATCTTGTGGACATGTCTGCGCACAAAGGCCCGTTTCGAAAGGCCCTCGTACGGATCGTCAGGAACGCTTTTGACCTGCCAATTCCAACCAATACCACGATGCGACGGAACCATGAGTGAACACACCCTGAGAACTTTCTGCCATGACAGGTACATTCCATCCAAGGTTCTCGCGCTCCTAGTGTCGCTGCGCTTCGGGTTTCCAATGTATGCAGGGGCATCGGGCCCTTTCTGTGGAGCCAAAATGGCGAATTCGAGGAACCAGAGAGGCACAGCAATGAAGAACGAGCTGTTGTAATAGTCGGCAGAGGGGTTACCGAAGGTATAGCATGGTGACCTAAGGCATAGGTCTAGAATCAGTGGGAATATGCAGATGGCGATCCGACGTCGGCTGGAAAAGAAGAACGGGACGATGGTAAGGACAAAGATCAGTGGTTGGTAGAGTGGCGGCATGGGCTTTCGGTCGGCGAGCTGTGGCCAAGAGTACCAAAGTGGCGCCATGCTCTCCATCGTCTTCCGCATGTTGGCGTTAATAGTTTCAGGAATAGCCATTGTCACACTTCGCGGGCTACAGGAAGAAGTTCCAGCGGGGCTCGCCAATTTGTGAAGTCGCATTGATCAGGCCACCAGCCTTGGACCGCGTCGAAGGATCCGAGCTGACGTAAACTCTGCCTGCTAACTAAAGCAAGCACTATTGCTACGGCCTGTTTTCTAGGTAAGGCTAGGACAGATAGCTTTCCTCGATCTCCCATCCTCTTCTTCGGACACCCTCATTCTCACATGCTTTCCACGTATCCACCATTGATTCCAACTTATGCCTGGTATCTTTATTCACGATAGCTCGGTCCTCCTTCAACTCGTCTCCCACGAGTTGAACTAGTGCCCAGGCAACTTCGACCTTCAACAAGTCTGGTGCTGTCAACCAGCTCAACCTCGTCTTACGAATGTCGCCTACGTAGATCGCTGTCAATATGCGATTGTTCTGGAGACGATCGTGCAGCAGATCGTGTTTATCGTAAATGTATAGAGATGTGCCGAATCGCTTTTCACCCCTTCTGCTGCCCTTGGAAGACACGATGTCAGTGGCAAGGTAGGCATTCAGGTCTCGAAGGGCTTGATGGTAGACTGGCTGGCTACTCATCTCATCGATGATCGCCTCCAGCTGACCGGCAAAGAGCGTGCATTTCCGTTCCCGAGCCTCTTCACCTTCATCGCGCGAAGGCCATGGATAATCGAGCAGGAGAAGACGCCAGGAAAAGGTATCAGGAAGGACCGAAGGCTCTCGGGCTGGGTCGCGCTCCCATTTTCGGTTGCGCAAGTTGTTGACGTAAGACACCATCGCTACTAGGATCGGTTTGCCGTGCTGTAGCCACCAAGACTCTGCGATATATTTGCCACTCAGCAATCTATTATAGAAGCCTTTCGTAAGGCTGGTGTACGTTGGCCCGTCGTTGAATACAAACGTCGTGAAAATATTGAGACATTGCTCTTGGATGAGTTTCGGTGTAAGAACTGTATCGTCGGAAGAGTCCACCGCGTGTTCTAGAAGTTCGATGAAGTCCGCAGAAAAGCGACCATTCCGGAGACTGCGGTCTTGCCCAAATAGTCGTACCCATGTTTGGACTTCAGGAAGTGAAGCTAGTGCAGGATCAGCGACAAGCCCCTCATTCATGGCTCGCAAAGATGCCGGAGGTCCGATGATAAAGCACAGGTATTCCACATATTCTTCCAGTATAGTATGCGGTACATGAGCCGGCTTCTTGTTGTTCTTGTTTAATAGCAGCCTGTTCACGTACGGGTCTCGCGGGATGGATGGGATGCGAACGTCCATAAGCAACGCATCTTCAAGCCCGTACTTTCGGAGAAACAATGCCGCCCATCTCGTCGTATGATCTCTGAGGGTCTGCAGTACCGGCATCAAGACTCGATCTACAAATTGCTGGAACTCGACCGTATCGTTCTTCTTGTTACAGAAATATTGGATCAGAGCCACCAAAACCGGTGATTCTGACCCTTCCTCGAGCGAGATGCCGGCCTGAATCTCGGGGAGCGTGAGGTCCTGTTCGCACTGCAGCCACTGCGCTTCATCCAGCGGCTGTCTTTCGTTCAACGATCCAGCTATTGGTATGAACAACTCCAGAAGAGCAAGTACTGCGCGAGATTGGTCTCGAGAGCCAGTTTCAAACAGTACTAGGAGGCTCTTGACGATGTTGAGCCTGACGTCCACATGGGTGTTCATTTTTGAAAGTGTCGATAGCACTGAAAGAGCGTAGTCTGTTCCGTTCAAGTCAAGGTCCTGGAAAATCTGAACCAACATCTTAATCGTAGTGACTTTCACATGTGGCTCGCCAGTAGGTCGCGCAGCATCGCCCTCTACTGAGCTCTCTCTGTTCATGTTTCTGGTCTGTACCATGTTGATAATCTCATCGGAAAGAGATCCAATGCAGGCTCTAGCCTGCGACGCCGGAAGTCTTCGGAGGAAACTCGGTTTTAGTAGGATGCGATGCCATGAGCTCGACTTGGGCCTATCCAGGATTGTACGGACAGCTGACTGCGTGGCCAAGCCAGGTCTATCACTTTCGCCTAGTCGAGCAATGAGCTGCATAGTGACCTCATGCAGAGCTGTATGGCTGTCGGATTCTTCAACTGTGTCCGCATGATCAAGAGCTTTGACGAGGTTTCGTGAAAGCTGTGCCAGCAATGTAGGAGGTATCGTATCGAGATGACCGTGTATGGCTCTGGAAGCTGTAAACTGATTTGGCTCATCAGAAGTGAGGAACTCTTCGTCCAAGTATAAAGCCGGGTATCGCGTGTCTGTTTTCGAAGGAAACGGAGTCGCTAGAAGGCGGTCGCTCTTGACGAATTTCGCGTCGAGATACAGCAGAGCCGATAACACGCCACCTTCTCCCATATCGCGCGATGAACTCCAGATAAGCCTAGAGTCCTCTTCGTAGCCAGGAACTTTAACTGGTGCTGCAACAATGGGAAAGTTCACACGGCTTCTTGAAGTCATGATTCTCGATACGCCAACTGAGAAGTCCACATAAGTCGGTGCATCAAGTTCCCGCTCGACAAAATCCGGTCTTGTCGCAAAAGGGTTCCATTCACATGGCTCACCCGAACCGTCATCCTCAGGTATCATTGGCCAAGACTTCTCTATATTCCTCATCACGCCCTCAGGCGGCCACTCATCCAAATCGTCTGGCTTCATGTCTTTCCAAAAGCGTATTGCTTCCTCCTCTGTCATCCTGTCGGAGCTTAGAGGGCCGATGGCATACTGCCACGCCCTTCTGAGACGAGCTTTCTTCTCCAGCTTGTCGCATGCTTTGGGTATATAAAGCTGTAGGCCATATTGGTAACTGTCTACAAACAGCCCAATGGTCTTCTGAAACTCTTTGTCTAGTGATACGGGTTGGAGAGCAGTCTTCGGATCTGGAAAGATGGCTTGCTGGGTACGCGCTGCAATGTAAGACGCCCCTATGCTGTTGAGATCATTCACGTTCAGAGTCCACGGTGCAGTCAGGTATTGTATTGGAAGTCCTCGAGGAAACGGCTCAGGAAGCGCTAGTGTGGCAGGACGGTCTAGCGGCCTTAGCTTTGACCAGAGTTCATTTCTCGCTCGTGCGAGGGTGTCTAAGAAGACATATGTCGAGACGTCGGAGCTTTCAAGCTCAATAGTGAAGGATCTGTGATGGGCAAGAATACCACGGGGATGATTCGCCTCCAGTCTTGCGCATTCCTCTCTTTGCGCCTTTTCCTCGACCGCAATGAGCATAGGAATCGTGACCTGCCAAATGCAGGCATGTATACCGTGATCAGGGGCTCTGAGTTGCTTCTTGACATGTGGTGTGAGATCCATCCGTAGTTTGATAACATCGTGGAATAGCTCAAAGACGCCACCCCAATCAGACGCGTTGAACGAAGGTTCCCTGAGGGCTTCGCATGCTGTGTCAAACATTCCTTGCAAAATCGTATTCGCCATTGCGACTCGGTGTTGTAGCACAGTCAGGCTTGGCAATCCGTTGATCGATGCAGGAATACCTGATAGTAGGCGTGTAGCTTCTTCAGGAAATATGTTTGGATAGATCTCCCGCATCACGAGCGGATCTCGCAAGAAGCGTTTGGTCCACTCCAGCGTATCTTTCAGCAGGTCTAGAGACCCACTGGCGATAGCAGCAAATAGCGCTGATTTGGCAAAGAATGCACGTTGTTCCGGCTGAGATGCAGTAGCAGCCTTCTTCTTGCGCACATCAACGTAGCCATTGGCCAATATCTTGGCGTCTTCTTCCCTGTTGTTCAGGCTTAGTAGCCAGAAGTGAAATATATCCGGGTCACCACTTTGACCTTGAAGTTCATAGGTTGGCGTTTGGCCGAAAATAGAGCGATTTCGATCAAGGTCGATTAGATCAACATCTCCTCTCGCTTTTCGCAGACGAGTAAACAGTAGCAGAGCGTCGGCAGGGGACAGATTGGCGAAAAAGCTGGGATGGATCGAGCCCTTGGTCTTCTTCAGATCCGCATCGCTGTCAAGGTCAAGCGAGGTGGACTCTTGGTAGCAAAGTCTCAAGAGTGGGTAGCTTCGCTTTGCTGGAATCCTTGCGAGGACGTCATCCCAGTCTTCGATGTTGGTCTTGCTGGCCGTACCGAATACCGGATGAGAACAGAGCCTCCGCAGTTGCTGTTCGAACAAACTTGGCTGTTGTGACCAGCAATAGGCGACCTGCTGGAGAAAGTCGCCCTCGATGCCAGTGATGTGACATCCTGTGCTTGGATGGGCTTCCAAGTACCGCATTGTGAGATCGACTATTCGTTGTATCATATCCCAACCTGCGTGGTTCTTGATTGCACGTTTAATGAGAGGATTGACGAGTTGGTCGATGAAAGTCTCGTCCGCCACTACCGAGTGCGCTGAATTACCAAGGGTTTCCAAGAGTCTCAAAGAGAACTCCATCGACTTGGAGAAGCCCTTTGTGGTCGATTTACCTGGCGGATGGTGATGCAGTAGCTCTGTAAATACCGTGATGTTGTCTCTGGGTAATTGTTCCGCGCTCACCGCTTGGAGAAGCTCTTCTTGCATACACTCCGGATAGTACTTGACGAGATCCTTGGTTCGCGCATCTTTCCATGTTCCTTTCGACCCGCTTGCGATGGCCTCTTCTACCAGCTCCTTCGAACACGCAGGAATGATGAGTCGATAGAACCTTCCAAGTGCACGCTGATCTTTCGTCTTATGCGGCGAATCGGGGAAGCGATCGGGGTGCAGCGCTTTGAAGAATTTCGTGAAAAGCTCTCTTTTCGCATTCAGGTCAGCGCCTCTACCAGAACGACCAATTGCGTTACAAGCAGCCTTGACCTCGATCACTGAGAGGTCTGCAAAGATGTCAAGCAACCCAGCAGTTCCTCCAACGCCATCCCACGTCTCTCTCCATCGCGAAGAACAAAGTCCTTTACGCAGAAACTTGATGCCGAGCTTGCGGACAAGTACGGATTTATCTTGATTGAGCGCTTCGCGTGTAGCGAGAGGCGACTGTGCTACGCCGAGCCATGGCCCGAAGGTGAGCGGCGATATCGAGCCTCTCTCAATAGCTGAGAGGAGCTGTGTCGTGATGTCCTGGATTGGCGCATCGTCCAGTATTTGGGTGTAGTAGTCTCGAAGCTCAGCGGAAGTGGAAGACCGGATGCGACGCGTGTCGAGATTCGCGGTCATGGTGTGCGGAGCCGAGGTAGATTGCGCAATGGCCCTCCACCATCAATCGCAGCAGCAATCAGCATTGATATAGTTTCCAGAACTTCAGGCATGATGCACGCGAAGGGTAGCACAGGCAGACATGGCCAGATGGAGGAAGGTGGATGATCAGGCGGGCCGCGTAGTGGGGCCTGTCGTGTGTTGGAAGGGCTGAGAGGCGGCCAGCGACGCGTCTATGACATCAGCCTTTCCTCTCAAAGCGGTGACAGCTCCCACTACGCTGCGCCCTGTTACCTACGCCCGCAGCCTTCAATCGACGCCCTCCTTGATCCACAGCCCTCCGTCCCCTTATACTTGGGATACGCAGCGTCACCTTGATGCCGCATACTTGCAGCTTCCCAAGGTCTCATTACCGATGGTGTGCGAGATGAGAAGGTCCGCATTTGGAGCTTTCAGCGCTATCTGTACAAGTCTAACTCGCAACCGATCAATCAACAAGGAATCTATAAACAGCGAACCCCCTTCGTATTTTTCACCAGAGCGTACCGCCCTCTCAGGCTTTAACTCCTACGTCACCAGTGTCTCTTTGAAAGAGTTCGAAAGTTTCATAGCCATTATTCTCCCAGAATGGTATCTCTGCCCTTCGACCACCACCGGTAATTGACGCAGTAAGTCCGCACGGATCTATAAAGGTCATAAACCACGGCATGTCATCCTTCCAACCTGGGCCTTCCAGCTCGGTCTGCCCATCCTGAGCCAAGTAGATATGGTAGTCCTCCGGTAGGTAGCGACGCGGATGGCGATAGTTCCACAGCACGGTGTTTACGAGCATGAAGCTCGCGTCGAAAACCCAGAAGAACCATTCGTATCGAACGATTGGCGAGAGACTCACGGGATCCCAGTCTTTTGACGGATTTGTTGGTACGCGGCTGATGCCGAAATGTTCGACGCAGCGGTAGACTGTGCGAATCAGGATGAGGCCCTGACTGATGTACAGTGTGATGAGAGGGCCCTGTACTTTCCCCGATTTGATGCCACCCCTGATACATCGTCTGTGAAAGACGCCGGCAATTATGCAGAAGAGGAGGATGACACCGATTTGTAAGATCAGTGACACCTTCATCAGGATATGTCCGATGTCGGCATAGATCTCGAGAATGTTGGGGTTCGCTAGCCAGGAGACGCCGATCGCGTTCAAAACTTCAACGATGCTGGATATTGCGCCAAACGTCGTAAGGGTACGGCCGGGATGCAGAGGTGAGTGGTATGGTACGTAGTAGAGTATTCGACCAAGCACATGGTAGTTGGCCAGCTCAAGGATGGGGCTGGTGATTTGTTAGCCACCTCAAAAGAGAAGGGCGAGCTACTTACGGTGCACATAATATGAGGATAGAGCTCGCGACGTATGCTCCGATCTTTTCGTAATTAAAGGCCCCATAGGAACGTACGACAAAGCCAGCTGTGAACAGTAGACCGCAGAAGGGGTGGAGACCAGTGACTTTCCAGGCCTTGTACTTGAAGCATTGCCAAACATGCGCAAGGGTAGCGATTGCGAACCACACGGCGAACATAGGAGGGGCCCATTTAACAGGCTGATATAGGTAGACACTTCCGGGAACGATCTCGCCGTCTGAGGGAGCCATGGTAGATTTTATTTAACGGGGTAAATGAAGAGCATGAGAAGTGACATGCGCATCCAAGTATTTAAGCTGGAGCGACTGCAATTTGATCTTCGAATGATCGTTGCTGACTCCAAGGGCAAGAGAAGAGCAATCGGCATGTCCAATAGGATTACTACAGGCTTGTCCTGACACAGCACTATTGATGGCCAAGCCTTCGATACAATTGCACAGCTAAGTACTCCTCCCGTATACCACTTGCATGCTCTCGATCCAATCAGTTTGGCTCAAGAAACGCAACTTTGGGAGGCAGAACGATTCCATCGCTGTCGCGTCTCAAGCTCGGAGCACGGCAAAGTAGCATACCTCACACCATTTGGATGTTGGCAGGTAGCAGCACATGCAATAACACAGCGAAGAATGTGCCGGATAGCAGAACGAGATCTTGATGACCATATTTACTAAAGCTTTATCGTGGTGGCCGTTTGTGAGGCGCACCTGCCAATCGAGCTTCACACTAGCTTTCGGCTGTCAAATAACGCAACTGCCGCTCGGGCAGGAACGCGTCGCCCGCGCGCGCCTTCCTCATGAACAGCCACATCACGCTAGGCAGGCTGCTAAATGCGCATGTATACATGCTTCGAAACTTTCTTCGGTCGCTCACAACCTGCACTTTTCTGTTGCGATTTGCAGCACAAGACCTGTCGATTCGGCACCTCCGAATACGAAGACACTCGGGTCTCAGGCCCCCAGCGCCACATGCACATAAGCTTCCTCGCTGGACTAGACCCAATACAGCAGTAAAGTTGGCCAAGACGGACTTGATAACCAGCTGAAGTCATCACCACCAGCCACCTATGATAGTCAGACGAGCCCTTTATGGTAATAAAACTGGAGAAATGCTCGCTTTTATGAGGCCACCAAAGCCGCTGCCATTGCCGCCTTCTTTGCGGGTACCTTCCGGTTAATCTCTATCTACCCGCATACAGAAGCGACCATGGCCGAAACGGGAGAAAAGAGAGCAACACGCCAATGCTGGGAGTGTCTTAATCGGCGTCTAGTGTGCGACAAGACGCTGCCGCGCTGCAACAAGTGTCAGAAACGCGGTCGGCAATGCTCGGGCTACGACGACGCGAAGCCGCTTCAGTGGGTTCAGCCAGGGATGGTGACGTCCAAACGAAGAGGAAAGAAAGACAGTAGTCCGCAGAAAAGATCCAGCAGCAACACAGCGGCTAATAGTGAAGTCGACTATGCCTGCGAACCCATAGACTACGAAGCCACCTTGACCGAATGGGTAAAGGATCGGATCGTCAATCCCCAGTATCGGGTGACTGAGCTCCACGTGCTATCCTTCAAGATGATAGCCGTGGCCAAAGAGGTCGCCAGGGTATTCGAGATCGGCGGAAGGACCAAGATCGAAGAGATCGTGCAGAGCGGCTTGCACGAGGAGGCCGCCAGGGTATTGCGCTCAAGTCGTGATCCACTCCAACGGCTGAAGCGTCTACTTGCGTTCCTGAGCATGCAAGATGTACCACTCTATGATGATCTCATGGACGAGACATCGGAAGTGGTGCAAGCTGTTCAGTACTGTGAGTGACTCCTTTCCTCAGTATGGAACATGGATCTAGCTTTAGAGCGACATGTTTGGCCGATGGCTAACGCTACCAGACAATGTACGGATACACCCACAATACAAGGCATCCCAAGAACTGGCACCCAACCCCGCCCTCGTACTCTTTCCCCCACAAGTCTTGCATTTGCTTACGCCGTCCATCCATCATGCGTTAGTCTGCCTGTCACTCAACCACTTCATCCACAGTCTACCACTAGGCGCAGGCCATGCAGCGGTGATAGCGCGGACAAAAGTATACCAACATCGAGGGGCAGCTTTGCGAGCATTGAGTCGCCATATTGCCCAGGACAAGACACGATGCTCGGACATGACTATCACCACAATTCTCATGTTCATGTGCTTAGAGGTATGCGAGCGCGCCTGGAATGTGAAACTTGGAGTCCCGTACTGATACGTACCTCTAGCTCCAAAACCCCACCTTTGCGGATGGACGTTCACATGTGAATGCCATGAAGCGGATAGTTGACCTCAGAGGTGGACCCAAGCAGGTCATGAAGGAAGCCCCGTACCTGATCCAGCCGATGGTGCTCTACCTACTGTATGTTTATTTGCCCTTTGGGTTGAAAACCTGCTTATATGATTAGTATCGTGTCTCTTTCCAACACGTGCAGTCCGTCATGGGACCAAGTCGACATCAGCAACACTGTAGAGGGAATGACGGAAGACATAACCGACATGTACAGTCTCATCTTCCCGTACACGCTCTGTCCGCGAGAACTCTTCACTGAGATATTGCGGACGAACCAACTACGCGCAAAAGCATCTGCAGCAATACGAGTGTGTGATTTCAACCTGGATTATGCACTCGAAGCTTACGACGTCCTCGGCCGCATCGAGGCCTTCTCAGTCGAGGACTGGGCGCGAGCTGGCACCTTCTGCACCGAATGGCTGACTGTTGGTCTGGTGTACAAATCCGCCGTCGCGCTGTACGCCACCTTGTCCCTTTGCTCACTCATGGTCCTCCCGACGACACCTTCACTGCTCGAGAGTCAAACAGCTCACGGCGATGTCCTGCTCAGCAACCTCGGCACTGCACTCAAGGCCCCGCGTATGGCTAAGTTTATGGTCTGGCCCCTGATCGTCGCGGGTGTAGAAGCTATGCATCGCGGGGAAGGGACGCGCAACTGGATCGAGGCGGGCTTGGAGGATCTGAGTAGGACACTGGGGACGAGCTGTCCACTCAAAGTGTGTTCGGTGCTGAAGAGATACTGGAAGGGCGGGGTTGCCGGGTGGGACGAGTGCTTCGATCAATCGTATGTGTTTGCCATCTAGAGAAGGAGCTAGTCAAGGAGGGGTTGCAGTTGTTCGTGCCATCATACCCAGAGGTTCGTGATATATCGCTAGTATGCGTAATGTACAGGCTTGCTATACAGAGGGGAGATGGGGTCCCCATTCGTGATACCCAAACGCCAATCTATGCTGTCGTGTGCCGTGGGGCAGCACTACCGGTCCAGGCCCTTGTTCTCTGGATCCTCATCGCCCTTGGTCTCTTTGACGTCTTTGTACGGCCGCCCCGCGTAGAGCATGTATCCCTTCTCCTCCATGGTGCCCGCCTTCTCGTCCGCCTCGGAGCGGCCCTGGCCAAATGCGCCCGTCTCGAGTTGGCCCGGCACGGCAATGGGCCGGTTGCCGCGGAAGCGCTTGCGCATGTCAATCATGCCCTTTTTGCACTCGGCGTAGCCCTTTTGCAGCTGCTGACACTGGGTGGGGAGGGTGTATTTGAGGGGCGGGCGCAGACATTCGCCGGGCGTGTGTCGGTCGACCATGATGCAGTCGCTATTTTGGAGGCAGAATGCCAGCGCAGCGCCTAGCCACTCCGGTTAGCCGAGGCATCGCACAAGATATTGAATAAGCCATACGGATGTCTTTGCAGGACTGCGGCATCGTGGCAGGAGGTCGCGTGTGGCTACCAGCGCATTCAACAATGCATGTGTGGAGTGATGCAGTGGAGCTAGCATTTCAGAGCCGTCGGCGAAACGTCGCGCTAACCTCCGGGGCTAGGATGCGTTGTCACATGTCAGGGATGGCTGCTTCCGTCTGGAACGTCATTCAGACTCTATCCTGCAAGACCTCACCGTAACTCAAGAGGGGCTGGAGCGCGAGCTGTGAACTTTCAGAGGCCCGCGCGTACAGAGGGGCGATGCGTTGTCGCGCTGCCGTTTTCTCTCTGCTTTAATTGCTTCTGTGCCCTGCCCGTCTTCACACGCCCGAGGGCACCTGGGCAGCATGGCGCTCCATATACCCTTCCTGTCGCGCCTCCACATCCGCGAGTACATCGCCCTGTTTCTCTCCATCTGCCTCATCGGCCTCGAGTCCTTCATTGCCGTCATCACGCTTGCCCTGCCCACGCCGATTATCAACTTCTGCTACCGCCTCACGCGCCGCCTGTTCAACCACCTCTCGTCGCCCTCGTCCAAGCGCTCGCGCCAGAAGAAGAAGGGCGTGTGGAGCTCCATCGCCAATGCGTCCGACTTTACCGAGCTATGCGACCTCTACGGCTACTACTGCGAGGAACACATTGTGCAGACGGGTGATGGCTATCTCCTGGGTCTGCACCGGCTGGGCTGGCGACAGGGCGAGGAAAATGTGCGCGTCAACAGCGGAGATAGGGCCAAGGGCGTCAAGAAGAAGGTCGTCTACCTCCACCACGGACTCATGATGAACAGCGAGGTGTGGGTCTGCTTGACCGACAAGGAGCGATGCTTGCCATTTGAACTGGTCGAGCGCGGATACGACGTCTGGCTCGGCAACAACCGTGGAAACAAGTACTCCAAGAAGAGCGTCCACACGCCCCCTACCTCGAGCAGCTTCTGGAACTTCAGCATGGACCAGTTCGCCTTCCACGACATCCCGGACTCCATCGCCTACATCCTCGAGACTACGCACCAGCCCTCTCTGTCGTATATCGGCTTTTCGCAAGGAACCGCGCAGGCTTTCGCGACCTTGTCCATCCACCCCACACTGAACGAGAAGGTTGATGTCTTCATTGCGCTAGCCCCGGCCATGTCTCCCAAGGGTGTTGCGTCTGGCATTGTCGACGCCTTTGTCAAAGCATCTCCGGATATTCTCTACTTGGCCTTCGGGCGCAAGACCATTCTCCCGTCGGCTACCATGTGGCAATCCATCCTATATCCTCCTATCTTCGTCCGATTCATCGATACATCCCTGCGCTTCCTTTTCAACTGGTCCGCCGTCAACATCCTACCCGAGCAGAAGCTCGCTGCATACCCACATCTCTACTCATACACGTCGACTAAAAGCGTGGTACACTGGTTCCAGATCATTCGGAATGGCACGTTCCAAATGTACGACGATGAAGCGCCGAATCCAATCACATCCAACCGATCCAAGTACTACAAGGTTGCCAAGTTCCCAACGAAGAACATCAAGA